TAGGGTTCTATGCGCTTTGACTTTGCATTTTACAATTCATGATCAAGATGAGTCAAAGTGGTGGCAAGCCACATCAAATCTTAGCATTCTTCATGAACACAAGTGCGACCTTCTTCCTCTAGTGATAGGAAGGTTGCATAGCCCCAAGCAGAAATCAGGAGCTTAGACCACATTACCAAGGTTTAAGCCACTATTTGGATACATTTGATAAATGATTCTGCCTAGACCATTTTAAGTGTATATGCAACTAGATGTTCAATTTCAATATCGAAACTCATGCAATAATTGTCAAACATTTTCAAAGCAAACTCTACGGCATTATCCAGTCTTATATATTTTATTGGATAATATGGGTGATACGCTCTTAACTTAATGATCTGATTAAGGAGTCTTGCAAATGTAGCATTCCTTATGGACAACAGGGCCACGTGTGATAATCAAGTTGATGCATCAACCAAAACCATAAAGTAGCAAAAGGATATGTGCTTGGATCGGTCCACTAATATCTCATTAGATCATTTCCAAGAAAGTGTTGTGCTCTTTAGAGTTGTTTGCATGCAAAGGCTTATGGCTACCTTTACCTAGCGAGCAAGTTTCACATGGTGTGATCAACTGGATCACGTATGTCATATTTTCCAGTGGTTGACCATGTGATGTACGAAGTATGCGACACATCATATCCCTCTAGGGTATTCAAGATGATCTTCATAGTTTCACATTGTAATTTGTTAGCCTCGAATGTCCTTAAAAATCAACAACATTCGACTAGAACAAGGTGAATATAAGGCCTTGTTAATGGTAAGCAAAGTACCATTAGGCAATATGAGTTGGGCTTTCCATGCCCCTATATCAATAGTGTTGAGCCACTAACTGTTGTCACTGAAGATTCAGTAAGTGTGAAGTTGAAAGTAAACGTGATTACGTAAAACAGTGTCTGTGGTAGCACTATTGGCCAAACAATCAACTTCATGGAACATGTCTATAAAAATATACGTTAAGTCATACAACAAGTGTTCCAAGGTAAACTCATTGCCAAAAAATATTAGCGAACAAAAATTCCAAAAGAAAGAAAACAATAACCATAAGGGGCCTAAGAAACCAATGGTTTGCCCAAAATGGCCTAATAATCTGAAAATAAAATAGAAACTATCTGAAAACCATTAAGAAAAATTGTAAGTTAGTGACGTGTCAATCACATCCACTAGTAGCCATCTTGCTCCATAAGATCTTAAAAGACTAAAGTTGTGTCACTCTGGACAACTTCAGTTTCCATGTTGTCATGCTCGACGAGGTGGCTTCACTTTGACAACAGTTGTGATAGCAATGATCTAAAAATCGCAAGGCACTAGTCAGACTGTGAACAGGGGTTTAGCGTCTAGGCGCCTAGCTTAAGCCTAGGCGGATTTAAGTAAATTTATTGTGTACCATATAAATAAGTGTCTCTTTACACTAAAAAAAAAAAAAACAACTATACCTGTACTGAGAATGAAATAAAGATAAAATGCAAAATAGAAGTAGAAAAATACATAAATGACTATAAGCATAATGAATGTTATTGGTCTAGATGATACATCATATATGCATCCAACAAGTTTACAATTTTAAAACACATGAAGTGAAGGAATAAGGATATATTATAATATAAGATACTTGCAAAGCTAGAAAGCCAGGCCTCAATCTTTTCTTCTCCATATCCCTCTAAGGCTCTCTTTGTGTCGGACTCAAACTCAACTTCCTCATCATCTTCTTCTTCTTCCATGTCCTCATCCGATACAAAATATTCTTCATGAAGTTCTCTCACTTCAAAATTTCTAGAACTATCCACCTTAGATGCCTCTCTATCCATTTCGGAACCAAACTTAACTTCTTCATCACCACCCTCCACAATCCATCCTTGCGTTATAATAACTTCACTAGCAAGTAGTATATCCACTTTTTTCTCCTTCTATGTGCTCTTTTTATCCATGATTCTTGCATTTGATTGTCCACAAGTTGAATTATTTAATCTTGTTGTATTTAATCTATTACTTTTCTTCGTATGTATCTGTTGGAGTTTTTAGTAGAAATCTCATTACCCCACATTGCTCAACATCAAAAGTTTCTCACATTTATAATACTTAGTCCTTTTTACAATGTGACTGAAAAGGGCTTTTTAATCATAATTAATACATGTAGTAATATAAACAATTAGTTATTTATGAGTTACCGTGTATCACCACATGAAAACAAAACCTAATTAGTTTAAGAAACCATTTTCCTTTCATTCAAAAAGATAACATCAACAAGGAAAGGCAACCTTTCTGTGCCTAAAAGCAGAGAGGAATGAAATTATGAAAGACATTTTGATGCCTTTTGTGATTATTAATTGCAGAGGAGAGATTCGACCCAAAAAAAGTGCAGAGGAGAGAGACAAGAACCACACCTTCGGGAGAGGGCATTCGGCTCTCCTATTTGGAAACAGAGCAGTCGGCTCTCTCATTTTGAGAGATAGAAGCAGACGCAATGTGCGAAAAAAACAAGGGGCACTATTTGTAGAAGGTAGCATATGCTCTTTGGTGCTCTCCTTGGGCTACATTATTTGTGATGTTCTTTGAGCAACCACTCATATTGATGCTATGTTCTGTAGCTATTAGGGAAAGGTATTTACTGTGTATGTTTGTCTTCACACAAATCGAAAACCAATTCATACCAACCTGCCACTTTTAGTTAACCAACCTTGTCGGTTTTAGACCCAGCTTAGTCTGTTTCGGTTTGTAATTTTGGCCCAACCCACTAAGTCGGTTGGTTTTGGTTTTGGTCCAAAATTGACTCAAACTAACCCATGCCCACCCCTGGAAAAGATGGACTATAGAGAGCAAACATAGTGTTTATACTCTGAGTTCGAGCTTTAAGGTGTGATAATTATAAATATAATTAAAATATATTTAATTGTCAAAAGAAGAGCCTTGGGCTCTTAAATCTAGGTTTATTATTAAATTCAACAACTAAATTATAATCTTGAATTTAAGTTTTATTATTTTGTTATTCCAATAGACTCATTATTTTGTTATGCCAATAGACTCATTATTTTGTTTATGAGCAAAAGTGAACATTAAAAATTTAAATTTAAAATTTAAAATAAATTCGAATTCGATACCAAATTAGGTTGCTCATTATGTGGTTTAGCCTAACTCTTCATCCCCTTAGTATAAAAATATCGATGTACTAAAAAAAATTAAAAAATAAACCTAAACCTTTCTCTCTCCACCATTCACTCCATAACACCACCTCCTCCATTTCCTCACCCACTGAACTCAAATTCCGCAAGTTCCCTCCGCCCCCAACGCCTAATGATCAAGTGTACATATTCGTCCATAAAAGTACAACACACCAAATTACCAATAATCGAAACACCAAAAAATGCTATCATTTTATCTCATTAATTTGGATAGCATTTTCTTTATGCCAGGCATATTGTCTAAAAAAAATTACACTATATTTGGATGAAGAAATTTAAGATTACTAAAAAATTTTAAAATGATGGAAATCAAAATGATGTGATTTTATTTTTTAGAATTTATGAATTTTCTTATTTAGTTAACCTAAAATGACAGTGGACTTGAATACGAAATTTGTTATTTTTAAACTCTCGATCACAAAAATTCGAAAATGACATCTATTTACATGAATTTTAAACTTGAGAATTGAAAGTTCCAAATTCCAAGTTTTTTTTTCCACTTAGAAATTCTAAATTTCTATGTTTATGAATCCAAACAAAATAATTGATGTATGCCAATCTATAAATCATAACTTTTATCTAAATTTCAAATTTATTTTCCATGTCCACACCTAATGTTAAGTGAGATTAGTTCTTCTTCTCTCCTTAACACAGAAAATAATAATAATAATTACACCCAGAACCCCTCCACTTCGACCACATTTTTATAAATTTAATGCAGATAAAATATAAATTTATTTAAGAAAAGAACAAGGACTGCAGTGGCTGCAATGGCCCACTTTGAAAAGCCTTTAATGCTGGCGGCGTTTTTAATTGGACATATTCTCGTAATAACTGCTATTATATTCAAAATTTTGCTGAATAATTTTGTGGAAAAGGCCGCAATAGCAAGAGTGATCGCCAAGTAAAAAAAAGGAAAGAGAAAACAACTGAACTCGAATGAACGAAGAAAGTCCTACTTGCGCACCACGACATACAACAGAACTCGAATGGACGAAGAAGGTCGTACTTGCGCACCACGATATCATGCGTGATGGAATGCATGTGCGGGTGTGTCCCATTTCCTACTTGTGCACCGATAAGTGCACGTGTATGATGTGACCAGTTTATGTAACACCAAACCGACTGAGTTGCAGTAATGTTGGAGATATCCATTCGTGGACTAATTTGAAATTTGTATGTGTAAAAATACGTGAAATGCAATTATTATTCAAAGGTAAATTAGAAAACATTTATTTTTTTTTTTCTTTTTCAAAATTTTGTTTATATACCTTGTGTTTCGATGTTGTTGGATGCGTAAACACACGAGAGAGGAAAAAAAATTAAAAATGAAGATATCCGAGGTAAAGTAAAAGTAGCCGCAATTGAAAATGAGGTGAAAGAAAATCGGTTAATATGGTTTGGACAATTGAACCGAAGACCTGTAAATGCTTCGGTTAGAAGATGGAACTATGAGACTGAGGTCAGGGCAAAATGAGTAGAGGAAGACCTATGAAGATCCTCATGGATGTCATTCATACCCTTTTTAGCTTTTTGCACACCATGTTCTATCTATGACCGTCAAATAAATCAAATGAAAAAATAGAAAAAAAAAATAAAACAGAAGTGTGTAAGAAGTTAAAAAGAATGTGCGTATATCATTTATCCTATTTTATTTTCGACATGTAACATGTTTAGGACTCCTGCTAGTTGAATTTCCAACTATAGCATTCATGTCGAAAAATCCTACAGTAATATTCAAGTCTATCCGTTGAACCGTCCACTCTTCCAAATCCATTTAAGCCAATTATCAGCATCCACTAAACACAACGAAACAAGGACCTTCGTTTCTTCTCTCTAAAGTAAAACAGAGTTCAGAGAGCTCTTATCTTAAACAGTTAGGCGGCAAACACAATGGTGGTTTGGATTTGGGCAACAATGGCGTTGCTTACAGTTGTTCACATCCTGCGAGCATGGATATGGAAAAGCAATAACAAGAAGATGTTACCTCCTGGTCCAAGAGGGTTTCCTATTTTCGGCAGCCTCTACTCGTTGGGGCAGTTCCCAAACAAAGATCTTCATCGGTTAGCCCAAAAATACGGCGATATCATGTACCTGCGGTTAGGTCTTATGCCTACCATTGTTGTCTCATCCCCACAAGCGGCTGAGCTGTTCCTCAAAACGCATGACCTTGTTTTTGCAAGTAGGCCACCTCATGAGGGTGCAAAACACATATCCTTCGGGCAAAGAAACGTGAGCTTTGCTGAGTATGGCTCATATTGGCGTGACATCCGAAAGATGTGCACACTTGAATTACTAAGCAACCACAAAATCAACTCTTTCAAGTCTATGAGGAAAGAAGAGGTTGCTCTCTTAATTCAGTCTATTAAAGAGGCTGCCAATAATCGACGTGTTGCTGTCGATCTCAGTGACAAGGTCTCAACTCTTAGTGTTGACATGACCTGCCGGATGGTGATTGGGAAGAAGTACAAGGATGAAGAGTTTGATGAGAGGGGTTTCAAGTCTGTGATCAAAGAGGGTATCCAATTAGCAGCAGCCCCTAACTTGGGAGATTATATTCCTTGGATTGCACCACTTGACCTCCAAGGGTTCACTAAGAGGATGAAGGCTGTTAACAAGGCATTTGATAAATTTTTTGAGAAGGTGATTGGTGAGCATCTTCAATCCAAGGATGAAGAAAGACCGAAGGACTTTGTTGATGCCATGGTGGCGTTCATGTTCTCTGAAGAATCTGACTACCGAATCGAACGCACCCATATCAAAGCTATATTGTTGGTAAGTATGCATAAAATCTATACCATAGCATATGGCGACCAAGTATTACATTGGACTAATCCTTCATTTTACCTTATTTGTATTCTTACTCTTGCTTGGCAGCAAATTAAAACAGAATTGTATCTTGTCCGAAATTTAACATGTTATTGGTTTATTAGTTGTGAATCGCAACAATTAGTTATGTTAAATCTGCCTACTGATGTGTTGTTTAGGTTGACAGTTTGATAGCATAACAGATGCCATTTAAATTTGTATTTATGCCCTGATTTTGTGATTTGTTTTTCGAATGTACTATTGGCAGGACATGCTTGTGGCCTCAATGGACACATCATCAACATCGATTGAGTGGGCGTTCTCCGAACTCATGAGGAATCCACAGGTAATGAAAAAAGTCCAGAAAGAACTAGAAAACGTTGTAGGCCTCAAAAGAATGGTGGAGGAATCAGACTTGGAAAAATTAGAGTACTTGGACATGGTAGTAAAGGAAACACTAAGGCTACATCCAGTGGTACCATTGTTGGTTCCTCATGCAGCCAGGGAAGATTGCACTGTCCATGGCTACCACATACCCAAAAAGTCACGCATTATCATAAACGCTTGGGCAATTGGGAGAGACCCAAGTGCTTGGACGGATGCAGAGAAGTTCATACCAGAGAGGTTTGTGGGTAATAACATTGATGTTAGAGGAAATCACTTCCAGCTTATCCCATTTGGCTCTGGTAGAAGACGTTGCCCTGGAATTCAGTTAGGCCTTACTGTGGTCCAGTTAGTGTTGGCACAACTTGTGCAGTGTTTTGATTGGGAACTTCCAAATAACATGTTGCCAAATGAGTTGGATATGACTGAGGAGTTCGGTTTAACGGTTCCGAGGGCTAACCATCTACTCCTTATTCCTTCCTACCGCCTTCAGAAATGACCATTGTTATTGTGTCTGTAATGTCTCATTTCCTACTTGTATGCTGTAATATTGTGTGGACTATCTTTTCTACTGTTTTACATTTGTTTTGTTCATACGAGGAAAACCAGAAATGGAATAAATTGGTGTCAAATTAATTGTCAATAACCGATATGAAAGTCTCTCTCCAAATTCTGGGCTCTTTCTCCTTTGAAACTAGCAAGCTTATGTCCAAAAGGGCCCGCAAGAGCCTGTTGTATATCCTTAAGTAGAAGGCCAGTTGCTGAGATAAACCCAAATTTGGAAAACACACGTCCTAAAAGTCCTTTATGATAAATCTTGCAGCCCAAGTGGCCATGTCTGTATAGTTAACAAGCCCAGTAGCATGTTCTATCTTTTCTATAAACAGTTATCTAATTAGAACTTTTTTCTCAAAGGAGAGAACCAACTTTCATTAAAGCCTAACTGTACCAACAGCGACATGATCTTCTCTAAACCCTAGTAGTTAAAACTGACTAATCCTTACAGAAAAAAAAAAAGAAAAAAAAAGGATTGTAATGTCCACACATCCTTTTTTACTTCTCACACACCTCTGATTAATTTCTGTCATTTGATCTTCTTCAATCCATTCGATCAGACGGTCAAAAATTAGAAGGACGTGTGATAAGTAAAAAAAGATTTGTGGATAGCCGACCCCAAAAAATATCAATCATAACTACCAAACACGCATTACCTAATTATATTTAGGCCATAACACATCATTTTTTACTTCTCACACACCCCTTATTAAGCAGCCAAGGACTAAGGGGAGGTGGTGCTTGCCAAAGACTTTTCGACAGTCAAATTAGTAAGCAATATTATGAGACTCAAGCAGTGGGTAAGAGAATAAGCGTGTGCAATTGTTTTACGCAAGATGAACCCTAGAATGATGTATTTACACCGGAGGATGTCTAAGAGAAGATATTGCATCCTCTTAGAAGTTGAATTACTTGGGTCTCACACCAATCCCTAGATTGTAGGAACTCCAAGAATATAGGAAACCTGGTTCATTTCATACTGGATCAGGTTAATGGATCAGGATTCCGTATCTTGCGAAACAAGCATAACCAATCTCAGATAAGTCGTCGAACTTCACCCACTGCTCCAGAACAGGATGATGGTGGCATCGCTAATCTATATGTGTAACTTTGTGATGGAAGCTGTTGCATCCATGACCAAACTTCTAAAGTAATAATATTTCGATCCGCCTTACTACAATCTAAAAAATTATGATCTCACACATACGTAAATTAGAAATTTAATTTAAACTAATTATTTCTATCCATAATTTTTTTTTGTATGATTTCCCTCATCTGAATTTTTTCTTGTTTTTGGGTAAACTTACATGTTAATGTCGCTATCCTATTCATAACTTCCTGACGACATGCATCCTTTTCAATGCATGACTCAATGGTGAGTCGATTGGCACCCTATGGATGATGGAGCTCTATCATGCAATAAAAAGTTGTGGCTGCTTATTGTCTCTTTTCTTGTTACGTGCATGCATAGAGTTTATTCTCTGTTCTCTCAGATGACTCTGACAACCATTTCCAAGGCCTACACCCACGTGGACAGTTGGGCTCAATACTCAAGGAGTATCTTTGTCACGAGACTACTACTATCACAGGAGTGTAATTATTTATAATAATAGTTGCCACCTTTTATATATGAATTATAAACAGGCTTCCACACAAAAAGGAGAAAACTAAACAAATTTTTATAAGAGCTATAGCATTATCATGTTCTCAGTGGCAACTAGCAATACATTACTTCCTACCCCTAGTTTGAGGGAGTGGCCTCTAGGTAGAATATTCATTGGTGTACCTCGGGATGAAAATTTTGAAATACTAAGAGTCTGTTTGGTATTCTATTTGAAATTTTTTATCATTTCTCAAAATATTTCTAAGAATATTTCTTGAAAACAATTTTTTTTAAGACTCAAAAACTTGATTGGTTGCAATTTAAAAATTTTAAATCTTATGACTTAAACTAGACAAAGAGATTGAAAAAGAGGGGGTCGCAAGAGAGGGAGAAAGAGGAGAAATGAGGAAAGAAGGTAAGAGATGATTGAAGGAAAGAGAAAGAAGAGAGTGGATCGGACGAGATAGAGAGGAAGATGAGTGAGAAAAAGAATTGAGAGAATGAGCGGATTGGAGGAGAGACGAAAAAGGTAAAAAAAAAAAAAAAAGAGAAGAGAGAAATAAGAAAAGAGAGAGATAGATTTGGAGTGATAGGGGAGGAGGGAGAGAAAACAAAGGAATGAGTTTAAGTTAAAAAACTCACTTTTTATGTTTTTAGATAATAGACTATATTTTTGAGTTAGTCTTGAATTCAGTTTTTTAAAATAGTCATACCAAACAAGTTTTTAAGGAATTAAAAATTGTTTTTAAGTTTAAAAAATTAGATTCAAGTAGAGTACCAAACAAGCCCTAAACAACTACAGTCTACAGACCAATCATACTAATGATTAACTATAAAGATCTATTTAGCTTTATTTATCATAATGGTAGTGATATTGGGAGGTGGATTGTCTGCCCTCCCATTTCCATACTTTCCCCAAGCCTTCCTGTGATGTGTGGTCACGGTTAAGCCATATCAACATTTTATATTAATTTTTTTATAGGAATAATAAAACAAAAAGTAACAGGAATATAAAATGTTGACGTGACTTAACCGTGACCACACAAATAAAAGGACATGGGAAGAGTATAAAAATGGAAGGGTAGACAATCCACCTCTAGTGATATTAGTAATGGTAATGATGGTATAATACATTATTACGGAGAAATCAAACTAAAAGCGAAGGCCGTTGTGGATCCACGTACGCTTGATCTCGAGAAAGCCTATATGACTTATTAGATTGGGACTTTATCTCGAGAAAGTCTATGTACAGAAACAATCAACCTAGCTTTATAAATTTGTACCATGAATGAGATGGTGAATGGTGTTGATACCTCAGATGATTAGAGTTGGGGAGATGAGAAGGAAAGATTCAGTTGATACATGAGAGGAAAAAAAAAAAAAAAGGAGGTATAAGCGTGTGCACCGTAAGAGAAATGTGGTTACGTTAGGGTTTATGTAAAGTATATTAGTACTTTCGTGTGAACATTTGATTAAAATTATTGTACATTAAAAGGGTTGCTAAAACTCTATATATATTGGACCAGAATTTTGGTTATCAATCATATTCAGCAAGCTCGAGCACCTGGTTACAGTTTCTATGAATATAAGAAATAGAAACTTTGGATGCGGTCTCTGACCACGAATATTCTTTAATTAATCTTGTTAGTTTATAATTTTTTATCAAATCCCTTTCACTCTGTACACATCAGCTTATTAGTATTAATAGATTTTCATGTCAGTTTTTTTATTTTTTAAATTAAATAAATGTATTTGTTGCAAGTACCCATTCAACCACCAAAAAAGAATATGTGTCATTACATACTCCTGGAAAACAATGTGCCCATTATGTACTCCTGAAAAAAAAAAAATGATCCCATTGAGAATGAAACTTATCCTTTTTTGTCAAATAAAATCAAGGGCATGTACCCATATGAAACTGATTAGCCCACAAAAAGAAAAAAAGACAGACTACAAAAGCTACGTCTGTGTGTACTGGAGGGAGAGATAGAGAGGTGATCTTTTCGGATGAGAGCTTACAAGCATAGGTGAGGCAAGTGGTCATGGAGTAAAAAGATGACAGGAGGAAGAACAGTTTGACTTTAATTTGCACAAAAGAGAGACATTGATTTCAAATGGACATTCTGATTTTAACTTAATTATAATTTATTTTGCCTAAATTGTGGGAGGAGATGAGATCTCAATTCATAGTATCAAATTTTGAAAATTAATATGCATAAATGAGTCCATACAATAATATATTTGATGGGTTGTTTAGGTTAACAAAAAAATAAAAATATTTAAGCAAAATGGTGACATGTCATGTTTTAAATGCAAAAAAGTTGATGTGGAGAAAGTCAAGAGATCTAGGTCAAAAATTGAAAATCAAGGGAGACTTTGGATGCGAATATGAATATTCTTTGATTGAAACCTTATTGGTTTTCAATTTTTGATCGAAATCCCTAAAATTAATGTGATAATTTATTTTTATGTATGTTACTATATTTTTTAAATTAAAAATTAAAATTTATAGTTGTTTATATTAATGAGATTTTAAATAAAAAACCATAATTTGTGTAATTAAAAATATTAAAATATAAATTATACTATTGTGTGTGTGTGCACGCATATATATAAACATGGGTGCATTCATCTAAATTAATCAAAAAATTATTGTACCAAAACATGGGTACATTTTTCAAAATCACAAAAAAAAAAAAATGTATAGGCTTAATAACATTAGTAAATTTTTTCGATTAAACTTGAGATGGATACATTCTCAAATCAAAGAAAAAAGAATGTACCCATATAAGTTTAAAAATGGATTAGAAAAAAAATTGAATAGATTTTATATATATAAAAAAAAAGTACATTTTACATATAACAAATTGGTATATTTAATAATGAGTACATTTTAAGATTAAAATTTTGAAAAAAAAAAAACATGAATAGGTACATATAAGATTAAAAACTTGAAAACATTTTTTTTTTAAAAAGCTAATGGGTACAAACTTATTCTAATTTTTTTATTTATTTTGGAATGTTTTGAATTGAAAATTAGTTAGGAGTTTAATAAAGGTGTGAGTATTAAAATTCTAAATCTATTGTTAATTTTTATTTAAACAAATTATGTAATGGATATGTAAATTCATTATTACATTAATGTTAGGAATTTGGATCAAAATCTAAAAACTAATAAGATTTCAGTCAATGAATATTAGTAACTAGGGACGGATACTAATTTTTCCATCTAAGAAATTACTATACATCTCATGATTTTATGAATAAGCAAATCGTTTATTGGATGAGTGATTTTGCAATTTAAATACATGACAAGCATCTACGTAACGAGTGACGCAATTAGGGCATGTTTACTAATCCGTAATCAGATTGAGGGGAATTGAATTTAGGAGGAATTGGAATGAGTTGGAATCAGAATTAGATTACTGTTGAAGTTGTTTACCAAAACTGTCTGGAATTGGAGTAGAAATGGCATTGATCTATATAAA